TGCTATTCGCAGTATCAAGTCCAATTCTACTGGTATTGATGGCATTACCATTGAGATGATTAAATTGTGTCCTGCTATGGGAATATACATTTTGCACTTAATAAATTGTTGTTTAGAGCGCGGTGTTTTTCCAAGTGCATGGAAGGAAGCATTAGTGCAACCTCTTCCAAAGATTCCCAATCCCCAGGTTCCTGGTGATCTGCGACCTATAAGCTTGCTGTCAGCTCTATCAAAAATTCTAGAAAAAATAGTTTATATGCAGTTGAATGAGTTAAATCAATCAGGCTTTAGAAAGGGTCACAGTACCACTACCACTTTGGCACGGGTTTGTGACGATGTACTAACAGCGGCGGATAGGCAGGAAGCAACTGCAATAGTCTTATTGGATTTCAGCAAGGCTTTTGACACCCTGAATCATAAGCTGTTAGTTTCTGAATGTAAATACATTGGGTGTGACGGCTTGGTTCTGGCGTGGATAGACTGCTATTTAAATGAACGACATCAATATGTCGTCATACAAAATAAACTTTCAGACAAAAGGCCGATTTGTTCCGGCGTGCCTCAGGGATCCATATTAGGTCCACTTTTATTCCTTATATACACCTTTGACATTTCTAACACCCTTCAACATTGTTCTAGTCAATCATATGCTGATGATATGCAGGTTTTTCATAATTTCTGTCCGAACAACTACCATTTAGCTAACAACCTTATCAATCAAGATCTGCAATACTTATGCACATATGCTGCAAAACATAATTTACGTCTAAACGCATCGAAATCGACAGCTATACTTTTTTGCTCCAAGAAAAACGTACTTTCCTCAAATCAAAGTCAAATTTATCACTAAATAATAGTATCCTAATATTTTCCCAATCTTCAAAAAATTTAGGTTTGTACTTGGATGAAGATTTCAGATTTCAGGAGCATGTTGGCTATGTGTGTAAGTCTAGTTATTTTAGACTCAGGCTTCTATATGCAAGTAAATCTGTTTTAAATAGAAAAATTAAGAAAATGTTTTGCGAGTCACTCATACTCAGTAAAATCGCTTACTACAACATAGTTTATTATCCCTGTCTGGAAGAAATCACAAAATACAGACTGCAAAAAATTCAAAACTCATGTAGTCGTTACATAAACAATTTAAGAAGGTACGATTATGTTTCTCACTCAATATCTTCAATGAATTGGTTGAAAATTTCTGATCTTTTCAAATACAACTTTGTTACATTTGTCGTAAAAATATTAAAAACTTCTTTTCCGGTTTATCTTATGCAAAAGCTTGTTTGTAGGAATTTAATTCACAATTTGAATACGCGCAACATTAATCTCCTGACAATGCCACAACATAGGACAGCCATTTTTCAACGGTTTTTTACGTATAATGCGGTGAAATTGATCAACTCTTTAGAACAATGTTTCATCAGCAACTTTTCTAAAAAAAAATATAAGAACTACTTATTGAGCTCTTAGGTTATTGTCTTCTCTTTGAATCGTACGTATTATGTTTTTTGTTCTAATCGTACGCATTATGTCATATTTATTAATTCTTCTTCTACTATTATTCTTCTTTTTCCTTTTCTTTTTCAGTTTTTTATTTTATTTTTAAGGTAGTTTAAAGCATTGACATGACATTTATGGTTAAGTATAAATGGCCATTGGCCAGACTTCTCCATTTGTAAGGATACATAATTATGTATGTGTTACAATAAAGTCCATTGAATTGAATTGAATTGCAATTTTGTGAAATTTCTAAAAAATGGGATAATGAACTTTCAATCGGAATTACACATAAACCATTAGGTTTAGGGCTGTGATTTCTTTTAAAATGAGCTAAATGGTAAGTTTCAGCAATGGTTATGTGACTCTTCATCAGAGCTAATTACAAATCATCGCAAAAATCTAGAATTCATGTTTTTGTGAAAAATCTCTTTCATTCCTCCACTTTGGCGGGAGGTAAAAAAATTGAGCTTGTATGTCATTATTCATGTTATTTTAAAAACTATTCCGATCCATGTAGAATAAACCCTGAAAATATCGGCTTGCTACAATGAGTAGTCATGTCACATTCGTTGTTGTGATGCGATAAACGTAAGAAACGCAATTTTTACCACCTACAAGTAATTGCGATTGAAAGGTCATTATCCCGTTTTTTTTTCGAAATTTCACAAAATTGCAAATATAGTCGAAATCACGAAAGGTGACGATTACGTCATCATTTTAGTCTGTAGTAAAGACAAACGACAGCGAATTGTGAATATATTTAATGAAGTTTCTGATATGTTAGACAGAGACAAACAGAATGTTATTGTCTAAACAAACTGTATTGCTAATTTGCATGTATCCGACAACGATAGCCGATGTTTTCATGTTGCATGATCGTTCATATTTGAAAGATGAATAGTTAGGTTATGTTGTTTTCGAATAATACTTTGGTCTTTGGTGTTCCTGACTTATAACTGTTTTTTCGAAACAAAAACTCCCCACTAAAATTATTATTAAGATATCGCTCAAAACCATGAAATAAAAAAAAAATAAAAATAATCAGTGAAAAAACCTAACTTCGCAAAATCATAATATAAATGTGTTGTCATTATGTTCCGGACATCGTGATTTTATCATCGATGTACGTTTGTACGTCCGTTGATTACTTCAGTACAATTTAGGGTATGACGTAATATTCACCTTTCGTAATTTTGACTATATCTCCTGAACAATAAAATTTCGGACCACACATATAGGGGTTCATTCGATATGCTTTGGGGCCCTCTATCACCTGACTTTCGTTGATCCACTAGTAACTTTACACCCTGTATATAAAAATGAATCCCTATTTCGCGTGGTAGCGCCATAATTTGAGAACGACTTTACCGATTTCATTCATCTGTTTTTTTAAAGTTTCCTAATGCTGTACAGAATGTTCTTACGGGAGGAAAAATCAAGAAAATTGCACAGAAAGTTAGTAAATCGTTGAAAACCTAACAATTCACTAACAGCAGAAGAAATATCTCAAGATTCAAAAGAGACAGGCACTCCTCTCCATCATCTTTATTCCAACAGCTTTTGACAGTTATCTATATATGTGAGAGAAAACTGCTTATGAAAACACTGTGCTTTCGTTTTTGAACTTACATTTCTTCACCATCCGAGCTTTGTGGTGGCCCCTTCAAAGGAAACTGCAGTGTTGACTACTTGTTATCATTGTCACTCTATGACTGAAAATACGTTTCTTCTGCTTAATTGACTTTCACTACTCTATCATTTTGAACTTGACGGCGTAAATTTAAATTATCGTTTGACAGTGTTTATTTATGAAAAATATTGTTTCATTTAATTAGTAGTGCACAATTCATTCGATTAGAGCTTTTATCCAGTATCCCACAATTACGCCTTTATGGCCTCCTTGATTTTCATAGTTATCTACTTTTACGTGTTAGCGTTCTATTTTGAGGTTATGTCACAATTATCTATTTGCATCCAATTGTTCATGCTTTTGATTTATACCACAATAAATGAGCGCTGACGCTGACATGGGTCAGTGGAAATCTAGAAATATCCCAGCCTTTCTGAAGGAGAGAAAAGACTATTGAAATCAAGGAGGCCATAAAGGCGTTCTATAATTATAGGAACCACTGGCGATACGGCCCTTAGACAGGACAACGTTCGTCGTGTCAGCTAGCATAATAATAAGAACGTGTATTTACAGCATATAGTATAAAATATAACATCGATAACATTGAATATTACTAAGAGTAAATATTGCTACACAATGGCACATCTATCCTAATTTTATACACATGCGCTATAAAATTACGAGTATTAATTAATAAAAAATGAAAAAAATATGCGACAAGTTCAAAGACAACAAAAGAAAAGCAGAACCATTCAAAACTTGACAGTAAATCATGACATTACTTGATTAACCAAACTTAGGCCCGGCTTTTCAATCGCTGGTTAACTTTTAAGTTAGGTAACTACTATGACTTCCCAGCCAGCACGGTGTCGTGGAATCGACGCAGGTATTTGGTAATTCTGGTCGAAGTTGAAATTTAGGAAAAATTCTACGTTTATTCGACGTGGAAATCCGGTGCAGCACGTCACTGGTCGACGAGGACGTTTTATCCACGTGAAACGGTGACCGCAAATACATTTGTACCTGTGTTGATTATTTATACACGTGAAAAAGACGTGGATCTGACGTGGCATTTTATCATAAATTTAAATTGTAATCTTCCAAATAGATAATGTCCGAATGATGATGATAAGTGTTTGGGTGATGTAATTTATTTGTAGATACATCCTGTTCCCAAAAATATAAAAGCGCACATCGAACCTAAAATGCAATGCGAGCTTTGTTATAAATAATAATGCCGTGTAAACATAATGTATTAGTCATTATTAAGTGAAAATCATCGACCACCTTATTGTAATAATAAAATATGAAAGTGTCATTGAGAATTAATTATAATATCGATGTTTCCCCACTTGACGAATAAATCTTAAATATCGCGCCTTGAAAGGGGAAGCGACAATGATAAAGAGTATCACAGCTGCATTGCCAGATTGCAGAATTCTCATCACAATCACCGGTAGTAGCTCCCAAGATTTTTACATACTTATATTTCAGATTTGGAAAGCTACAGATTGTTTTCTTGTTATAATTACTTTTGTAATGATGCAATTTTTTGCGTCTATATAATGCTTTAGGCTGAAGCTGATCTTTGTGTGTCGTTCTGTCTGCCTTGGATCTATCCTTCTTTCCAGACCTATACTATTAACAATTTCCTAGAGATCATAAGTAGTTGTTTTCTGATTGAGTCTAGTACATTTCCGGTGGACTTTTAAATATAAAGAACATTAAGCTTTTTCAACTCGATAACATTTGGAGACATTGAACAAGCAGCATTAGGCAACTATGCTTTTGAAAAGACATCCCATCCAATCAAAGTCATTCCCACGCTCCCCGTGCTCCCCATCGGGAACGTCATGTTGTTTCTTACGTCGCGTTCTCCATCATGCATCAATTTTGCATTTTGCGAAATGTGCACGTATCTTCTGTAAATTCTGAAGTTTAAGTGTGTTGACAAAAGCCATACTGTGTTCCTGCTCATCGTTTAATCAAGAACAGTGTCGTGACAGTATCTATGCCTTCGTATGAGCCATAGGCATAGGAATAGAATTTTCAGATCAAATTGGTCGTGGTGCTGGGGGCAATATTGCCATGGTGCATGAAAAGCGGCTGACGCCGAGAAAGAAACGGGTGTGGTGGCCACCATATAAGCAGCAAGTGCTAACAAGTACCGTATAAGCAGTACGATATCGGAAGAGTGTTTTTTGAGGACGGTAGGTATATTCTTCAAACTTTACCTATAATTAAGGGCCGTATCGCTAACGTCAGTCGTCCCAACAATTATTGTAGGACGCCTTTATCGCCTCCTTGATTTTCACAGATTTCTACTGTTCCGTTTTACCGGTCGATTTTGAGGTTATGTTACACATCTATTCGCACCAAATTGTTCATACTTTTGGTTTATATCTATTTTATCATTTCGTACGATTCAAGAAGAAAACATAACTTCACAACCCCAGCCTGTTGAAGAGGAGAAAATACTATGAAAACCAAGGAGGCCATTGTAAGAATGACAGACAATACGGCCCTGAAATGTATTTAATTACTTCAAGTCTCTCTATACCAGTCATCAAGGAACAGCATCAATTCAATTTGAATATTTTTCAAATAATGCAGCTGCTAATTAAACTGGAAAAATTCATTACCTGCAAGACTTTTATTACAAACTGGGACTTTATGTTTGTGGAACAATGAGTCTGTTCAGCGAAAGTAAAGCTGTACAGCATTTTTATACTGAGTAGCAGTAGCCATGGGATTTGGTACGTGTCATTAGGACTTTAGTTGGTTATATGACCAAATTACGAGAATATTATTTTCTTTTTCAGATCTTGTACTTTTTGAAGTTAGGGGGACGTGATATTACCAATAGAACATATGTAATTTTGAGGCGCCTAATATATAGCTATTTGGCAGTTAGCTACAATTATTTGGGAACTAGACAAGAGAAGAAACCATTCAAAACTCCACTTCTCAACAAGGTTGTAATAAGTAAGTACTAACAGGTCTTTATCGGTTCCCAAACAGTTTCAGACCTATTATTGCTTACAAATTTTGTTTTTTGTATCTGATGTAACATACAAGACTTGATGTACAACTATATTCAAAAATCCCTTTTCATATGAGAGCTTTATATATAGGTAAACAAGTAAAAAAATATTTACTAATTAAAAAACTAAAACATAGAATGTTCTATCGGACAATATGTTCTGCATTTTAGCTGTCATATTTCATTTTTCCCCAGTCAAATTATATTAATTTTAAGTTATGGTTGGATTGTTCAATCTTATTTTGTATACAGTTGATTATATCACGTCTATATATTCATATTTTATTTCAAGGGGCTGTTCTTTCTAGCACCAATGCTACCAAAAAAGAGGTGTGAAGAAGATGCCATTAAAATCTGGTTAAGGCTTGCACCAAAAAGCTATAACACAAAATGTTCATATATCTTGTTTATTCTCAGTAGTAGAATGTAATATTCTGTTAACTAAAAATAATATTCGACTTTGATTTTCTACTCACATTCATGACAGTGTCATAAAGTGAAAGGAACTATAAGATAGTTATTAGTGAGCATCAGTCATTAGACATGTTTGAAAGGAAGTTCAACAAATACTTAATAAAATAAATGCCTCTCAGGCTGTGGCTTCATCTCAAAAACAGGGTTGTAGAGTCAGGTAATTCAAATTTTGAACTAACAGGATATTTTGAGAAATGTGAGACATTTAGAGCAAGATTTTGACAATAGTGATAATATTGAACAAAATCTATGCACCACCTATATGCGGGGTAGATTCTTCACAACTATGCAGCTCTAGGGACCCAAGAATAAATCAGTGCTTAATCTGATGCTCACAAAACTATTGTTTCATTCACTGAGATCATATTTAATTAGAAAGCTAATATGCAATGAAATGTATTAAAACATATTTGCAAAAGTTGTATCTATTTTCTTATTTATATATGTATATCAGTTAATATATAATCTAATCAGTATTCATTTATTTTAAACCTCACATAAAATGTATGAGCAGATATAATGGTTTGTATTTAAAGCAATTGGTGAAATGTTATTAACAAGACATATTTAGAGCTAAAATGCTTACAAATTTGGACAAAAAATTAGAATACTCATGTTTTAAGAAGTTGTTATGATTATTCAAGTAGCTATTTCAAATAAAATTACTATAGTATTAATCCTTCACTTTGTCCGCCCTTACAATTCGAACATATTGTAAACATTTCTTCCACCACAGTGGCCTTCTTTAGTACAATAACATTTGAAGGGTTGAATGGATGAAGGTGGTAAGTAACATTTGGATTAAAATGAGTTCAGTATGTTTGGTGAAGGCTATAAGTGAAATTCTGTCTGGAAAACTGGTTGCTAACAATAACAGTTATTGTCCACAGTAGGACCAACCTGATTTCCCGACAGAGTACCTACTACTTCTAGGCTTCGCCAAATATATTGAACTCATTTCTGATCCAAATGTTATTTACCACCTTTATCCAGTTAATCATCACGTGAAATCGTCGTCAGACAATGACGTCGGTTCCATCTCACATTTCGCCCATAAATTAACGGATTTTCCACGTCGAAAAGAGGCAGGGAAACGACGTGTGTAGATCACGTGAAATCGTCGTCAGAAAGTACCGTCGATTCTATCTGACACGTCGCCCCTTTCCACGTCGAAAAGGGACGTGGAAACCACGTGTATAAATTACGTGGAATCGCTGTCAGAAAATGACGTCGATTCTATCTCACATTTCGCCCACAAATTCAACGGACTTTCCACGTCGAATAGGGCCGCGAATACTACGTAAAGAGGTACGTTGATTTCACGTAAAATATACGTGTCCTTGCTGGCTTGGTTGAGGGATATCAATCAGTTGCATGTAAATTTGTTTTTCAAGTTCTGGTAAACAATCTATAAACCGTTGACCCAGCAACACTGTTTTAATGCCTGAATGATCGAGCCCTATACCTTTCGTGATGTTTGGTATTTATATCTCGTGTCATCTATGACAACTTGTGCCATTGAGAAGCACATTAGGTTTGATATTGCGGTTTGACCACAACTGTATAGTTATCTCATACAAGGTCCTCTGGTTGAAGTTAACTGCCACCTCAGGAGTTGTAGTTAACTTACGATTGATAAACCGGGCCATAGATTAAAACTGACGAACCATGAGCTATGAAGCTATTGCGAAACACGTGAAAAATAGAACCGTTCAAAACTTGACAGCTAATTAACCAAGCGTAGAATAAAATGACAAATCATGACTTGTGGCGTCACGGCGAAGAGCGCGAAAAATGTGGCGTTTAAGTCTACGCCATTGGAATTGCAATTTTACATATTTTATTACAAAAGCCAGACACTTCCATGAATGAAAATTGGCTTTTAGTTACACAAAAAAAGACCTCAATTGCTGACTACTGGAACCGAAATAAGAGAAATATGTAAAACCATTCTTACTGTTATAATTTTGGCTGTACGTAAATATTATCAACGAAATTGATCCATAACTCTGAAGCTCGCCTTGTATATTTTCACGTTCGCCATACAAAGGAATACATATGTTTTTTTTAATTAAACAGAGTTAATGGGTTTTTTATTCACTTTACAAGGATTTCTTCAGCTGCTTTATGCTTCAGTGTAAGTTTGCTGTTGCGCAGCACGAATGGAATTTTTAAACGCGAAAATTATATTTTAATTTGTCAGTTACGTTGAATTCGGCGTATGCGTGTCGGTGGCTGGTTCATCTTGGAAATTTGCTTTTCTCTATGCGGGATCGTTAAGCGAGATTTAATTGCCTCTATGCACTCGGCATTTTAGGTCAAATCTAACTTATAATAAGATGAATAGTGAACTGTGGCTTTATGATTTCTAAAAGGGGTTTGTTATACAACTTGTTGGAATGGTTCATAAGGACAATTTTTCTCTTGAATATGGATATTGTAATTTATTGTCGAAATATGCTACACGGTCTCTTCGGATGTGGTGGCCCAGTAGGGGGATCTCTAATACGGGGCCAGAATGTGTGCATGTTGCATGTACACGTGTTCTCTGGCTAGTGTGACATCCTCCCCTTTCCCCTGTATCCCTGTTAGTCACTGAGTACCCATGGGTCTTGGTAGAGGTTCTAGTTTAGAAAACTATATATCCACAGAATGGATTTTGATTGACTACTTCCACTGAGGCGAAGCGACGCAAGGAGCATCGCAATAAAACGTTTTTTTGCACTTACAAACATAACAGGTCGTTTCGCTTCGTATTGTTCCAGTATGCCACGTCTCATTTGTTTATGCTAAAGGAACCCAGCGGAAAAGTTCTGATTTTCTTCTCTCTACTTCCCTTTCCCACGATGAGCGTGCACATTAATGATAGGTAGTGCGGTTTTCTAAAATAGAACGAAGAAGTAGGTCTGATTGCTTGCAGTTGGCTCGGCAAAGTTTGTGTGGTCGATCACCGAATCAAATTGCTCTGAAGCGGCAAATGATCAAAACATGGAAAGTGGTATTCTCAAATATACCTACATCTGAAAATACGACATCCCACCTATTAGTAACTTATGTTCCGTCCTCGTCGAAGTAAATATTGCGAATACATATCGTAGTACCCTCGTAGTAGTACCCAACCGCCACGATTTCAAAGCGCGCACGCAGAGAAGGAAAGCGGCACTGCGCCCGTTCCCTCTACCTTTCGCCCTCTAGCCGCCAATAAACCTTCATTCCTTCTTCTCGTGCCCGACCGTCAAGACGTTAATCAGAGCGCCTCGTTTTACGTGCAGTGCAGTGTCGAGGATCCGCTGAATATTTGGAATTAGAAAACCGGAGAGAAGGTTGACCGATAGATGTGCATTGTTTGATAGTCTACAAAATTGTTCGTCCAAAATGTGGCAATTTATCAATAAAATACAAGGCAAAAAACAAAACAACAACATTAGTACAATTAAAAAAGAAAATGGTGAACTAGTGAGTAATGATGTAGATATAGCAAATGAATTTTTTGAATATTTTTCAAAAATCGGGAAAAGGTCAGAAAACATAAAAAAGCGTAGAAATTAAATTATAGTAAGACCAGATCATATAACTCATTATATCTGGAACCGACCGATACGCATGAAATAAAGACAATAGTCAATTAATTGAAATTAAGAAAATTTCCAGATCCAGATAATATAACAGCATATACTCTCAAGAGAATAAATTCCAGCATCAGCGGCATACTGCCCTACTGAGCGAGGGCCGTGGCAAATGCTTGTTCCAGAAGTTGTTGTATCCAGTATACAACTTCTTCCCGTCCAAGTGATTGTGCACGCGTTAAGGAATACCTCAGTACCGATTGCCGGGTGGCGGTACAAGTCCGCCAACCGGCCACTTTAGGTCTATTTAACATCACTAACACGTAAAAAGAAGGTGGTAGACAAGGACCAGTCGACCGAGGCAGTACCACCCGCCAGCTTTTCCCAGGGTGTCTTATAAATGTCCGCATATTTCCACACCTAAGCTATGCAGTCGGTTATCTACCAAAACAAAGAAATTAATGATGATGGATCCCTCGAGCACTAAAAACTCCGGACGTAAACTCACTCCACTCTCGGAATGTCCGGGTGGAGGGTGGGCTCGAGGGAACAACATCGAAGATAAAATTTGTTTTTCGAACATCTGCGGGATCAACAGCAACATTGATGCTGTTCATCACTACCTGCAATCCAATCGTCCCGCCGTGGTTTTCTTGGCGGAGACAAAAATCTCAGAGACTGCACCGATTAACCATCTCAACTTCCCAAACTACGAGGTGCACTCCAATCTGAGAAATAACGGGGGAGTTGTGGCTTTTGTCCGCAGCAGCCTTTCCTGCTCCAGGGATCTTTCTTTGGAATCAGACCGGAAGGACATTCTGTGGCTTCGCCTCAACTCCAAAACATCACCCAAATTTATTTGCTGCCTTTATCGCTCTCACTCGAACCATAACTGGGATGACCTACTCGAATACCTCGCCGTCCAGATCGATTTCCTGAACATCAATCACCCCGCTTCAGAGGTAGTTCTTCTCGGTGATTTCAATGCCCATAATGAGCTTTGGTTGGGCTCAAATAAGACCGATGCAGCAGGTCGTGCAGTCGAAGCGTTCGCTCTTACTCAAGGACTGACTCAGCTGGTGACGAGCCCTACTTTTTTTCCCCGCGTCTCGTCACACGCCAGTAGCCTGCTGGATCTCTTTCTGACCACGCATCCTGCCCCTTACAGCATTGCTATCCTGTCCAACCTGGGTAACTCAGATTACGGTGTTGTGGAGGTTAGGTTTCGGTCAGAAGCCGCTGCGGCAGCAGAAACTCGCACAGCCCGCAAAACTTGGCATCACGGACATGCCGACT